AGAAACATGGAAGGAAAACTACTACAAAATAATTGGAATGTCGCCCACCTCGAATACTTCAACTTCTGAAAAAGGACGCCCCTCAAGTCGTACTCTTTTTCCCTCACCTGGGTTTTGTCCCAATTGGGTTTTCTCGGGGAGATTTTTAACGAGGCGATGAAGGGGACATCTCGAAGTTCAAAGTATAATTCATCGCCCCGCCTGCCGATTGCTTCTCCAGGCCGAACGATGAAGGGACTAGATACATGGGAACTTCTCCAATATATGTATGAAACGGAAATATATATAGCACTCTCTAGTGAATGAAATAAAGCAGCATTTTGTACTCTCCACTAAGACACTCTCCAATGAATGAAATAAAGCAACATTTTACTCTCCATCATCTCTTGCATCTAACATTCGACCTCGCTCGAATTACTTAACATTCGACCTCGCTCGAATTACTTAACATTCGACCTCGCTCGAATCACTTAAGATTCGACCTCACTCGAATAACTTAAGATGCCCTCACAGCAAATGAAAATAACAATTCGGAGGTACACAGCAAAAAGGTAATCATTCCATTACAACTGATATATTACAAAAACTTTTTATAAAGGGCTCGAAGACACCCTCACAAAAATAGCAAGGCAAGACAAAATAAATACAACGGCCCTACTCCACGTCATCCCCCGCAGCATACTCCTCATTATACCAAGAATCGGAGGCGAGCCTGTCCGCATCATCATCGACATCATCCCCGCCAGGCGTACCGGGATCGTAACCACAGGCCTCACGGCGGCACGTGCTTTGACACGAACACCCTCGAGTTCCGCCTCGGAAACCTTCACGTTAGCATTCAAGGACTTGTACACGTCAAGTTGAGCCTCGTCATGAACCCACATCTCATACAACTCCCGCGGCACAACGGGATCAACAGAATTATGAGACGTAGATGGCTGCGACTGCCGTCGCACTTCCTATGCCTTCAAAGCAACAACCTGTTCGTTCATTCCGGACAACTCCGCCTCCAGATCTTGGATCCGCTCTTCTAATCTCGCTACCTTGAGCATCAACGTCTCCACCTCATTATCCCATTCAGACCTACAAACACGGAAGGCATCATCCAGGGCTGCTACTTCAGAAACGGCGGCCACCCTGCCTTTTTCGGCACGAGCCAATTCCTCAGCCTTAGCGCTCAACTCACCCCTCAGATCGATAGCCTCCGCCTCCCTTTGCCCTAGCTCAGCAGTTAAGGTGGCCACCGGCGCCTGAAGATCGGCGTTCTCGGCCATCACCCCCTTGCTCACCTCAAGTTCATCGTCCTTGGCCCTAAGAGCCGCCTCAAGTTCACTGCATCGACCTATGGCCTTCATTAGCTCATCATCCCACTCTTTCAGCTTTTCGACTTTCTACGCCAGCTCTTCCTCTTTCTGCTTAAGCATGTTGCGAAACAGCTGAAAATCACTATCTTGAGTGAAGACATCGGCCAATGCACGGTGCTTGGTGCGGTATTCTTTCTACTTGGAGGCCACCTTCCCAAAAATGGTCGTCCTTCGTTCATCCCTCCGGTAGCACTCGATCTCCATAATAAGAGTCTGACATGCAGAGGAAAGAAAGTCAGCATAAGTAGGTTACGCATGCGAAATAAATCCTAACAGGAAAAAGAAAAGAAAAACACTTACTCGAAAAGCCATGCCAGAAATGCTCCGCGATAGCTTCGCGTCACTCATCGCCTGAAGCGCCGCGTTCTCGGAAGCGGCGCACAAGGGAGAAAATGCTAACACTGCCTGCTCAGAGTTCGCCAAAAGATCATAACCCACGAAAATGATTACGTGTCGGTTAGGACCCTTCATCCTTACTTACACGCGGGTATTTCTCTCCAAAAAGACCCGCACATCTTCGGGGTCGATGTTCGAGCCTGAACCATCGCCCTCCCCGAGCACTGCTCCATCCCCTCCGGCAGCCGACGACGTGCCACCTTCAACAGCCCGTACAGGTTCCCCGCCTTGGTATGTCCCCTCGGCCCTAGGGGACCTCCCCGCTGCAATAGCATCCGCCATAAAAGCGGCCCCTGCATCTAACGTAGGTGAGGACGCCACTCTCGAAGCCACGACCTTTTTCTTTTCAATACCGGTGGCGATGGCCTTTCCGAGCTCCATCCTCCTCCTCTTCCTCGACGGCGATTCATCCCCGTTGGAGAACTCATCTACGAGGTGGTAGACTGGTCGGGAAGAGATATCGTCCCGTATAGCGACATCCCGAGGAGGAGGTCCCTAATTGACAAAGTCTGAGTACGACCTCCGCGGGCGGACTCAGCCAAAGTAAATTGCATCCACGCCGATGCAATGGCCTGGCAAAATGCCGGCACTGGAGCTTTTTTTGGAAGCCCGTCGACCTATCACTACAAAGAAGTCGTATCAGTAAACGGCAGCAAATAGCTGAAGATCAAAACAAAAATAACACTTACTAGACGTAACCTTCTGTCCAAAGCGTTTGTAGAAAACTGCCCAATCTCGGATCCCCATCGTGTAAGGTAGCACGCGAGCCACCCAATCCTCAATGTCGGTGACGGGAAAAGGTGCACGCCTCTCAGCTGCACAGAAAAATAACAGATGAATAAAAATCAAAAAGAATAAAAGCAGATAACAAGTGTATGTCCTCGACACCTACGATTATGATTCCACTGCTTAGGAAATCCAGCAGGGTCCGACACCAAGTGCTCAGTTTTGATAAAAAAGTACTTGTGCCAAAACTTCCGGCTCGCCCTGTCATCCATTCCAATTACCAGCCCCCTGGTCCTGCGATGTCGCAGATGTATCATGGTACCTCTGTGAAAGCTTGGGGAAAACAAATGTAGTAACTGGCGGATATCGACCTCACAACCAGCCAACTCCGCATACTTTGTCAGCATCAGAAAAGCTTTATACAAATACGGAGATAACTGCGCCGGGCAGACATTATAAAACCGACAGAACTTCTCCGCCAGCGAAAGAAAAGGGAGAGTATAACCAATTACGAAAGGATAAACATAAAAAGCACAGTATTCAGGTCTATGGACCTCCACGATGTTCCCCCCAGCTGGAACCATCTCGATGTGAGAAGGAATATGGTATGTAGAACGGAGTTCATCTATATGAGACGGCCCAGTTTCGGAGATCACCGGAACGGGAGAAGGAGCGGGTTCTTTATGGAAATTGTTCCTAGATAAAGGGTTTCTGGGGAGTATCTCTTCCATGGTAGGAAAACTCTCACCCTCCTCAGCCACGAGATCCTCACTATCGGAAGGAGGGGCCACCGACAACGGAGTAGCGTCGGAAACTTTGTCATGTACGCGAAGAGTTCGGGACATCTCGACAACAAAAGGTATGCTATTAAACCTAAAGAAAGGGATGGTGACTAAACAGGAAGATGAGAAACGGAATTGCAGAAACAAATCTCATAACAAGAACTCATAAAGAGGATCGAAGGAGGATGATGTACATATAAGGGGGGAAATGACGGAAATTTCTGAAAAAAACGAAACCCTCACTATTTATAAGGCTGGGTGGCGCGAGAATTAAAGCAAAGGATTGTCAATGGCGCTAAAACTGAAGCGACAAGCACACAGACGCTATCTCGGGAAGATGCGTAATGATGACGCGCGTGGTAGTGACGTCACATCCTGGTAACCATACCAATCAGGATTCCGCAGGTTGTGTCGTTCTCTCGATCTTAGCCGACCCGCCGTGATGTAATAGCCAAATTCTCCCACAACGAAAGCGAATGATGTCCGCTTATCGAGGACATGCGGGGCTACGACCTCAACAAGCGGAGGGACTAACTGTATAGGCCCAAATTTGGTAACAACTGTAACGGATAAGTAAGACAAAGGACGGGGTCGACCACGACACAACGATTGAAGATCATCCTCACAAAGGCCGACGCCAGAAGCGGGCAGCTGAGATGGGATAGTAACGGTAACTTAAGATTAGAAGTGGGCATAAAGAATATTCCTTTGGATATTCTTTATGTTGTACTTTTTAGGGTTTTTTGGGAATGTCCCTTATAAATAGGAAGAGATATGGAACAAAAAGGGATCTGCCCTTTTTGGAACTGGAACATATTGTAAATGTTGAGAAGAATATACAAGAGAGTTGTCTTATTCGTTTATTCAAGCACATGTTGTTCAATCTCTATCCATAAATCTCAAGATCCCATACATATTCCAACTGCCCTCCTTTCCACGTCGTCCTCAGAAGAAAGGAATCTCCTAATCATATAATCATTGGGTGATAGTTCCTTTCCCACTATCATCTTTGTTATTATTTACATTTATTAATTATACATTTATGCTATTACATGGACCGTCAATCATAGCAAATTAACTCCACTACTTAATACTCCCGAACTCTATCGGTTATACAAGAGTTTGGTTTTGTTCGATCTAGAATTTATTAGATACAACTAAGATTCACCCCTTTAAACTTATCATTAATTGGTTTAGCATTTATTTGCTCAAACTTATATGTCATATGTACTAACTTTCGTTTCTCTGTACATCTCTGTCTCAATTTGTTAGCGCGTCTCACTTTTATGTATTGCATTCTACTAGTATCCAGTACCTTTTTGAGTTTTTATAAATAGCTTAATAGTAGAATAAAGATAATCTTAGAGAGTAAATGAAGTAAAAGAAATACTTAAGAGTGAGGGTTTTTTCAGTATACAAAATTCTCTGATGACATCTTTTAACGTAATTTCAATAGGTAAGATATATAAGCACCGCGAGTAGAGATTTGACGATAATGAATAGGACAAATTGGCGGATGATGCAAAGGAAGAAAAGTCCATATAGCTATTTTCCTGCAAAAGGCAGATCTAAGGGCAACCATGAAGGGATGCCTAAAAGTGAAAAAGCTTTTTTTTTTTTTTTTTTTTTTTTTTTTTTTTTTTTTTTTTTGCATATCTTAATGCTCTTTATTTATTTTCTGTTTGTTCTTCAATTTGTTTTTGCTGGAGCTGCATCATCACGAGGAGAACGATTTTCCAAATCGGTTAGTAGTAAACGTATACGAACTTTTAACAAAACAGTTGCCTTTTTCCCTCAAGGAAGAATACATTTGACAATACCAAAAGAGAAGTTATTTTTACACCGGCCCCTTCCTTCCCCCTAGCATAACAAGTAAAAAAATTTGCAACATCTTTAAATAAATGACAGTGAAAATATAACTGATAGATCCCAATTACAACCATATGCTAAGAAGAGGAATTTGCTGTTGTCGAGTTATGGTTGCGACAGAATTGAAAGCTGTTAGCATCCATTCTTTCCAACACAAAATGCCCCAACATGTCCTTTGACTTCACCAAATTCTCTTTGCATAAGAACTCATCACTTGTAATTCTATCCACTTGCTGATTAAAATCATGCACAAAAATATGTGTCTTTGGATTGCCACCTTTCTTGCTCCGCGCCAAAACGCTGGCAGTAAAAATAGCTGACATTCGGCCAGGCGCCTCAGGCCAGTACCCTCTTGGACCATCAACCAAAATAACATCCCAATCCACTTCGTAAAATTGATTTGGAAGATCATTTAGCCCGAGTTTGCACTCCGAAAACAACAAATTCTGCACTGGCCTGCATTCGTTTCGCACTTGTTCCTTAACTCCTGCGATCAATTCCTTCATTTCACTCAATTTGGTCGTGTACTGCACGTCATAAGCTTCAATTTCTGGATATTTTTCCTCAATGTAAGCGGCATAATAACGATTTTCGTCAATAAAAACCGTTCGACCATTGTGATTCAGGGCTTTCCATAGACGAGTCTCGTGGGTAAGTCCAAAAACAAGTAAATTACAAGGTTGAGAACATTTTTGGAGAACATCAGCAATATATTTCATATCTGTATAAGACATGTGCTCTGTATTGTTAGAATTTGAAGCGTAATGGACAAGGGCCATAGCCACAGCCTTTGACAATGGTGGGGTACTTGAACTAGTAATTGTAGATGCGGAAACCACAGAGGCCGTGATTTTAGATTCTCTGGTGTAAATCACAGTAAGAAGAGATGCAAGTGTCAAGAATGAAACAAAAGCTAAAGCCCAAAAACGATTGGAACTTCCTTGTTTTTGGATATAAGGGTGAAGGAGTATTAGCTTTGTGCTACTTCCAAGACTATTCTTCATCTTTGTGTTTGTAAAGGAAAATTTTTGATTTGATTTCCCTCTTTGTAAAGATGGATTTGGAAATTGGAATGAGTTTCTGAGAGAAATGAAGCTGAGTTTTAAAGTAGGATACTATAGACATGAATTGGCAGATGGTGGAGATTAATACTAATCATGACATTACAATCCTACCAATATTTGATTAAGTAAAGCAAGGTCTCGTTGGCAAAGAAGAAGTTGACTTGTTGACCATCTGGCTGTGATTGGCTAACTCAAGCTTTTTCTAACCACCTCATTTTTTTCTTGCTAAAAATGGTTTCATATTGAAAATGGAGTAGTTGGAGGGAAGGTATTTGGTAAGGTGCTAGCGACTCAGTAACTAATTTACAAGCAGGAAGTCGCTTTTCCTTGCTCATTCCATCTTCATTTCTCACGCAACCTCTACTTAATAAACACATATTTTACTCTTGGGAGCACACGAATCAGCTGCCAGCAGATTCCATTTCCGCAACATAATAAATACATTAAAATACCTTCGCTACAAAATTAGAGTTAGTTGATGACATATACTACTAGTTTTCTGAATTTTGTTTTAACTTCCGCTCTTTAATTATTACAACCTGAATGCAACTATAATATTACTTCTGTTAGAACAATCAACTAAAGTTGAAAATTCTCTAAATTTGCTACGGACTTTCATTTAGGTTTTTATTGTCAGAGTCCTAAGGTTCAAAATAAAACTTAATTGAGTCCTTGTTATGACACAGTGCAAAAGGGTTCAATTTCCATAAAACGTATGACAATGCAACTTATCTAGAATCTCTTATATTGAAGTTGGGGTAAGAATTCAAAAACGATTAAAATGACGTATTGAAGCCTTAAATATTAACATACGTTTGCTCGTTTTTTGGTTGGTACGCTTTAATTTCTATGAATTTCCGAACGTGTGTAATTAATGTCCATGTAGTAATAACTTCTATATGGCAAGACCAGTTTCAAGAATAGTAAGAAATGTTGGGGCCTTGTTCAGAACCAATTATCATTGTGGGCCTTGTGATGTCATTTATCCTTGAAATCTAACCCTTTACAGTTTTGGGCCCGGGTCATGGAAATTCAGCCTCAGCCTTGTCGTGAATAATTGTCTGGAGATCCTTGACCAACACTACACCAAGCACTGTAATTCGTTATGGATTCAAAAATTTAATTCAAGTATATAGTAAGTCAACAATAGTGAGCATAGGTACACCCCTGCTAGAGCTATAGATCTACAGTTGGTGTATAGATATATCTATGGCACGTTAAGCAGAGATCAAAACACCCACTACCTATCAAACTAGTTTTGTTTAGCGAGCAAATGATGAGTAATCGCCCCTTTCCACAAGAGTTGCTTCTAGTCAAGTGTGCCATAATTGCTAATAAAGCGAGGACTCAATTTGTGCTTTGTTTTTTAGAGCCGCAGAGCGATTATTGGCGATTAGAAGCTGCTCAATTGCCAAAAAAGGTAAAGCATTCTCTTTAGCTTTGTAAATTGGCCCACGGTAGAGGAGAAATGACAACTCTAAGAGGTAAAGGAACTTTGTCGTGCCTCAATATATTTGTAGTATCGTCTTTTTATGAAATGAAAGACGCTACTTTTGGGAAAAGAAGGATTAAGGGTGGCAAACTTTGGTTGACACGCCGTTGAAAGTTTGGACTTGAAGAAAAGAAGGAAAGAAGCTAAAGAAAACAAAGAGAAAAGAAAAGGAACAGCATAACGATATAAGACCACTACAAGGCCCTGCCCATTTTCGCTTAATTGGGAACTCTATCTGAATCATTCAACTCTTTGAGACATTAAGTGTATCTATTTATTTTCACCACCACCAGCTACTATCGCCATTAGCTTTTAGAGTGTGCTTTATCAAATAAATTATTCCGACTGTATAAATTAAAATTTTCTCTATTATTTGGTTCAAACATTTTAGTTTTTAGAAACAGTTTTGTACACTTTTTGAGAGTAAGCTCAAGTGCGCGGAGAGTAATCAGAAAATCACGCCATGATTCTCTTAAAATGGATGTGCTCCTAGTCAAAAAGGCATATAGTAGTGCCAGCTCCATTATTTTTTACTCTTCCAACCCTATGGGCTATGGCGACTCTCTTCTAGTGAAATAGTGTTGCGAAAACGAAGTCAATGTAAGCATAAATGCCAATATTCTAAATCACTCTTAACCGAACTACAAAACATCCAATTGTGTGTAATATCATTGAGGAAAATAATACTATCTTTTAAGATAGTTGTTTTCTTTTTACTCTGTTTATTATACACAATGTGCTATTGATACGTGAATTTGATGTTTATTTGAAAGATTTTGTGATATCCATGAGTACACTAATGCGAACCTTTTGAGAATTAGGTGAAATTGAAAAAAGAGCAACTCTAATTCAATGAAAATCTCACCTTCAAACAGACTTATAAACTTAAAATTTGATTAACACAAGGGCGGAGCTAGCCCATCGAGTACGGGTTCGGTCGAACCCAATCGCTTTGGTTCAAACCATGTATTTGTATTAAGAAATTTATTGAATATGTATAAATTATTAATTTAGAACCCAGAAACTTGAAAGGACTAGAATCCCGAACCCACAATCTCTAAATCCTGGCTCCGACATTAACTCATAAGATGTTGATTCTATAGCAACTCTGATTCCTTCACCGAGAACGAGAAGGAAGTCTTATCAAATAAACAAGCTGTTTTACCACAAAAGTACTAAACCTTTTCTTAAAACGAATTAATGAGGAAATAGAGGGTGAATCCTAGTTAAATATAATAACCACTAGATCTAGCGTTTAGATGTATTGATGATGTGGGGCTGAATCCGAAAATGTTGTATACCAACTACAGATGCTCAATGATTGTCAATGAATGTAGTAATAAAAGCATGCAATAAATGTAGATAATGGCAATGAATGTAATAAGAAGGAACTTATCACCCAAATGTTAGATGACTTGGATGATTCTCCTTCCTGACAACAACGTGGAGTAATAGAAAATGAAGATGGACAAGGAATCTTTGGATCTTGTGAATAAAAGGTGTATATCGAACAATGTAATCAGTGGACAAGACAAGCTTTTGTATATTCTTTGTAGTCAACCATTTACAATGTGCTCTTATCAGAAAGTAAAGATCCCCCTTTGTTCTTTATCTCTTCCTATCTATAGGGGATATTCCTAAGAAACCTTAAAAAGTACAACAGAAAGAATATACAATGGAATATTTCTTCTTTCTATTCTAACTTATTCTACCGTTCCTTCCGTACATTCTTTACTTGACCTCGGCACTAATCCTTCTTAAGACGACTCCTCGTCACTGTGCAGTGGTCGGCTTAATCCTCGACCACGTCCATTTGCAGTTATTAAGTCCAGTCCAAATTTTGACCAATACAGTTAGTCCCTTTGAGTTTGAGAGGGTTTATGATAGCGGAGAGCTTACGCAGGCTGTTGAAGGTGGCTCATCATCAGCGGCTGGGAGAGGTAGAGCTGTCCTTGCGGGGGACGATGATTCTGGCTCAGACATCGACCTTGAGGAGATACTGACCTTCGTGGAGAGGACTACTCACGTGGAGATAAGGACGGGGGGGTCCTAATCGGCATATAGTCATTTTCGTAGATTATGACCTCTTGGCCAACTCATACGGGCGGTCCCGGCCTTCGCTCCCCTGTGCGCCCCTTTCGAGTATAGGACGCTACAGACGCTGAAAGATGCAGATCTATCATTGGGTATATCTGGCATGGCCTTGCGAGTAAGTTCGGTTTTCCCATGTTAGGTTAAGTTTGTTTCATATGTAACTTGCTTACACTGACCTCTTCTTTTTTTTTTGCATGTCAGACCCTTATTATGGAGATTGAGCGCGACCGGCGGGAGGAGCGGAGGATGGCCATTTTCAAGAAGATGACCTCCAAGTACAGAGAGTACCGTTCTAAGCACTGAACGCTAGTCGACTTTCTCAGCCAGGATGGCCAGTTTCGGTCACTTCGTGATGAGCTCAAGCAGAAGGATGAGGAGCTGAGAAGAAGGACGAAGAGCTGAGGGAGAAAGACGAGGAACTTATGAGGGCCATCAGCAGGTGCAGCGTGCTTGAGGGAGCGCTAAAGGCTAAGGAGGACGAGCTCGAGGTGAGCAAGAGAATGATGGCCGAGAATGCTGACCTTCAGGCGCAGGTGGCATCTTTAACGGTTGAACTCGAGCAGAGGGAGGCAAGGGCCGTCGATCTGAAGGATGAATTGAGTGCAAAGATCGAATATTTGGGTCGAGCTGAGCAAGTCAGAATGGGCGCTGCGGCTGAGGCGGCGGCCCTAGATGACGCCCTTCGTGTTTGCAGGTCCGAGCGGGCTAACAAGGCGGAGACGCGGTGCTCAAGGTAGCGAGGTTGGAGGAGCGGATCATGGGTTTGGAGGCGGAGTAGTCCGAGTTAAATGAGCAAGTCGTGGTCCTGAGGGCGAGAAGACTCAACAGCAGGCACAACATCTACATCTCATACTTTTGCCGATCCCGGCATGTCGCGGGAGTTGTATGAAATGTGGGTCCATGCCGAGGCTCAACTTGACGTGTACAAGTCTTTGAAGGTTGCTGGGAAGGTTTTCGAGGCGGAGCTTGAGGGCATCCGTGTCAAGGCACGTGCAGCTCGTGAAGCTTGTGGTTACAACCCTGGTACACCCAGCGGGGATGATGATGACGACGCCGCGGATAGGCTTGCATGTGATCCTTTGTATGATGATGAGTATGCTGATGGGGATGATGTGGCGTGAAGCTTTTGTCCTAAGTTTTTTTTTGCTTTGCTATTTTTGTGAGGTCGTCCTCAAGCCCTTTGTAAAAAGTACTGTAATCCGACAATTGAAATGGAACAATTGCCTTTTTGCTATGTATTTCCGGATTCCCGTTCTCTTCTTCTTCTTTTTCATTTGCCACCCTCTCTTTGATTTTTCTTAAAATTGAGTTATACACATAAGATTGTTGTCAACCCTAACCTTAACCACCCACAGGTACAAAATGAGCACTATCCAGAACACACTCAGTTGTAGATGAGGCTCCACTGCAGCTTCAGATGTAGTGGTATGACTTAGGAGAAGATGGTCAGAAATGGATTACTAAGTATCTGGGAGCCCTCACAGATATTATGAAAGTTAAACCACGCGATGATTTGATTGAGGCACTAGTGACTTTTTGGGACCTTGTTCATAATGTTTTCTTCTTCTCCGATTTTGAGCTTATTCCCACTTTAGAAGAGATAGCTAGATATTG